CAGTGTCAACAAATAGACTCCAAAACAAAAACTGCTTTTTAAAAAAGTAAACTTGAAAAAATCCTCAAAATACATGAGAAAACCATTTAGGGCTGAGCGCAGTGGCTCACGCCTGCAATCCCACCACTTTGGGAGGCCGAGGCGGGTGGATCACAAGGTCAAGAGATCGAGACCATCCTGGTCAACATAGTGAAATCCTGTCTCTACTAAAAATACAAAAAATTAGCTGGGCATGGTGGCGCGTGCCTGTAATCCTGGCTACTCAGGAGGCTGAGGCAGGAGAATTGCCTGAACCCAGGAGGCGGAGGTTGCGGTGAGCCGAGATCGTGCCATTGCACTCCAGCTTGGGTAACAAGAGCGAAACTCCGTCTCAAAAAAAAAAAAAAAGAAAAGAAAACCATTTAATATTAAATAGTCTCCTGCTTAGACTTTGACAAAATTGAATGATTGGCTAAAGGTTTAGAAAATTTCCCTTAACATTTTTTCTTCCAGGTATATACTCAAATAGAGCAAATTTTAAGGAAAACAACGTTATAGTGCTCATCTTAAATATTTTAAAATAGGCTTTCATCTAAAAACTTTTTATACATGGAAGAAATACCCACATATTACATAGAAAAGAAGTTTAACTTCCCAAAGGAAGAAAATTATAATCCAAATACTCCAATTCCATACATTTAAGTTTGGATATTCTTATAACTGAAAAGATGGTCTGTGATTTCTGAGAAATATTTACACATATCCATAAAAGATATGCTGTAAGACTTTGATTCATGAGACTGACACATGGGGAGGGGTTCCCGGTTCAGGGATTCAGGGATTGCCGGCTGTTCACGCAGTTCTAGCATGGGCGCTCTTTATCTTTATTTTACAAACTACAGCAACTGTCCCCATTTTTGTTTTTAAATCTACTTTAAAACTGTTTCCTTCCTCTTCAATGATAAGCTTTCTAGCCTAAGAAGGACAAAATGAAGGCAAGAAACTGGAGTAGAAGGTGCTGACTATAGCCAACATTTCTTTTAAAAACAATTCAGAACACAAGTCCTATAATCTTGAGGTGAACCCACGAGGCTACAATGACTCTTGCCCAAGTATTAGATTTTTTTGTGATATAATTATTGCATCTAGCCTATCATACTCTTACCATATACGGGTCACTTTCAGTGAGGTTTATGAGGGCAAGATAAATAAGGAGTCCATAATTGAAAGTAACTACCACTTTGTCTGTGAGAAACTAGCTCCACTGTATGAAAGCTGAAAGAATCAGCGACTACCGCGTGCTTTGGTCTACAGAACACTAATGACCAATCAGATTTTCCTATGAACTATCTGCCGGTTTTAAAAACTGTCAGATTAGTGTATACAAAAAGAGTTGAAATCAATGTAGACTGCTCAACTTACTTTTTAACCTAACATATTCTTTTAAAAAAGAACAGCAGTTCTTTAATGGATATGCTATAAATATTTCTCAGAAATCATAGATCATCTTTTCAGTTATAAGAATGTCTAAACAAAACGTGTGGAATTAGAGTCTTTGGATTATAATTTCCTTCCTTTGGGAAGCTGGACTTCCATTCTACCAGAATGCATAGCAAGATTTTTTTTCCTCTATGGAATTTAACTTGTTTCACCTTATTTTTGGTATCATTGTTCCACTGCTCTGTTTTCCAAGCTGACATCAAGCAGATCACATGTGGCCAGCCAGGCAGCACTTCCAGCTGGTGCTGGAATGTTTTGCAGTCAAATCCATGTGTCATCAACCCATGGTATAATGCATCAGTTTCCCTCTTCCGTTTAGAGACAGACCACAGGGAATAAAAGGTTTCCACCAGCTCAGCTAAAAAAGGCATTTTCATGGGAACTGTGGGGCCATGGAACAATTAGATGCATTAAAAAAAAAAAAAAAAATCTTGCCTTTTACTGTCCCAGTTTTTAAAGAGATGCCCAGGGTGTCCTAAAAGGCAGAGCTCTTAATTCCTATGGTCAACTGAAGAACACAGCAAAGAAAAAATAATTGTTATTTATACGCCAGCAGGTTCTTTTCACTTGGGTGGAAAATATCACAGAAATTTTCATTTTGCCTTGGTGTGGATCTGAACACTTCTTCTATACTCTGATCCCTTGTACTTGAACCTGTAGTACTCTAGGGTCCTTACTTTTCTTGGTTTCCTAATACTCTAAGCTTCCTGATGTTTCCATGTGCTCTAACATTGCTGAGAATCTGGGAAAACATAGGCTGGCATCTGAGAATGTATGTGAATAATTTATTAAAAGAAAAAAACTTCTGTCACTCTGTATCAAAAAGCTGGTAAAAGCCCCCAACCAAATCTGTAATCTAACCTCCCCATAAATAAACTTATTTATTACAAAACAGGCTATTAAATAATCAAAATTCAAGATTAATCTGAGAGGGCTTAGAAAGGAAGATGGAGAGAACAATTAAATATAACAAAACAAATCTTGATTTTCTCAAGGAACTGCAGAGAAAAAAGAGAAAGTGCTTACTTCGTGGAGAAGGAAAATTAACTTTTGATAATTTGATGGCTATTATAAGATTTACTATAGACATGTAACTGACTGGATTTGGCCTTGGTTGATAGTTCTGTTTAAACAGAGTAAAAACTGCATCCCGGGTTCAAGTGATTTTCCTGCCTCAGCCTCTGGAGTAGCTGGGACTACAGGCGCAAGCCACCACACCCAGCAAATTTTTGCTCTTTTAGTAGAGACAGGGTTTCACCAGTTGGCCAGGATGGTCTCAATCTCCTGACTTCATGATTCACCTGCCTTGGCCTCCCAAAGTGCTGAGATTACAGGTGTGAGCCACTGCACCCAGATGAACAGTAGGTGAGGCCCAAAGTTTTATAAGGGTGTTACATACAGTGGCTAAACAGCATGAACACAACATGTTTGGAATTTGCAGTTTACTCGAGAGATTACTGTCTAATAGAGCATTTGGTCGCAACCTTGAGTGCATACTGGAATCACCTCAGAGTTTTAAAAACATTGCTGCTGCGTCCCCATCTGCAGAGATTCTGATATAATTGTTCTGGGTACAGCCTAAACTTCGGAATTTGCAAAAGCTCCCCAGGTGACGCCAATGCACAGCTAAGTTTGAGAACCACTAAAACAGAGTATTCCTCTGAAGAAAGGAAGAATATTTAGAAATATAACGCAGGCACTTTCATAAACTGAAGTCTATAGTCGAAACAGTGTTGAGAAAAATGATGGTGTAACTTGCAGAAGGAAGACACATTTAGCAAAACAGGCGTGGAGAGAAACTTGAATTAACCAGAAGTGAAAAATATTCCTGGATTGCTGAAGGGCATAGGGTGTTTCACCCAGCACCAAGTTAAAGGATGTTTACACACGAACATCTGACTTCTGTTCTGATTAGGTCTGTAGCAAACAAACTTTTAACATATAATAGAGTTTCCTGATTAGACTTTCCTACCTGATAGGCTGTGTCCTCTGGTAGCAATGGGCTCTCAATCTGAGGGCCAAGACTCTAAGCTCCATGCAGACAAGAAATATCTTAGTTATGTTTTACTACTGGTATCTGGTAACTCAATAAATATTTGAGAAATGAGTCAAATTGTTTGAGTTATAAGTCAGTTGCCTTTGAGTGTTATAAGCGTCTCTTTCTCCATGGCTAATTAGATCTTAGGACCCAGTAGAAGACAAAATTAACTGGATGTCCCATTACAACCTCATTATCCTCTTCTTTAAAGTTTCCATGTGTTGTGATATGATATGAAGCCCTTGCCCATTGGCTTAAGATCAATAATCTTTTTCTAACAAAATTAAAACAAAATTAGTTTCTTTGATTTTAGAAATGTCAGTGAATGTATCTTCTGATTCTAACTTTCTAGTGAAATCTGTGCTTACTATCTCCCCTGCTCACGAAATCATTTAAATCCAGACCAGCACAGCAATGTGCTAGGTAATAAGTCTTCTTCCCTGCCAAGTGTAAAGAATGACTTTGGCATTCTGCCCATTTAGTGACAGTCACCTGAGGTCTTGCTAAATATAAATTAATTTTGGCAGTGATTTCTGAGTGTACTTAAGCATTTCTCCTAACTCAGACACCTCAAATTCTTCCCTTTCAACCAAGGGATTGGTAGCTTTCCTTTGTAGATTGTGCTAAATGGCAACAATACAAGCAGATGCTGTGTTGAGCTGTGTTATGGAGACTTCATGAAGACTGCCACCAGCACACACACTTCCATCCAGGAAGGCGCCCAGTGCTGGCCAGGAGCTTGGAATGACAAGGGTGGAGAAATAGGGGAGTCAGAGACTTACCACATTTACTTTTTCCTTACTTCCAGACACTGGGGAACCTGTTACTTTGGGAAGAAAGGTGAGGAAGTGCCCCTGGTCTCAATCTTAGTAGGAAAGAAAAGCAATAAATGGAAATATTAAAAGGGCCTGGAGTTTAGGTCTAGGGTCTGCTACTAAGTAGCTGCATAACCCTGGGGAGTTATTTGACCTGGGGAGTTTTACTTTTTCATCTGTAAAATGGGATTCATAATAGTAACAGCTATATCATGAAGCTGTTTTGAAAAGTAAATCAAACCATACACACACCACTTCCCACAATTCTTACATATGGTCAGTCCTCAATTAGTACTTACCATTAGCTATTAAATACAGAACATGATTGAGGGAGAACATACTAAGAAAAAGGAATTTGCTAGCAAGGTCTGGTTTAGGTGGAAGGAATGCTCTGATGTTTTTTTCTGTGATTCTCTGACCCTAAATTTTTAGAACATGTAAATTCTTTGGGAAGTCATTCTGGGCAGAGCCTGGTTCCTTAAAGAAATTCGAAATTCACAAATCATAACTTGTGGGGGCGAATTAAGAAAAGAGTAGCCTGATCTACTTATTTCTCTGAACCAAACTAAAATATCACTCCTAAAAGTGAGAATAAACATTTTAATAGATCCTTAAAACTCCCTCTAAATGTCAACGTTAGCAAGGGGGCAACAAGGAAATTCTAACCTAAGTACATAATGTTTATTTTGTTTTCTACATCACTTTTTTTCAGAGGCCATGCTCATCTTCCCTGTATCATTCTAATTTTAGTATATGTCTTGCTTAACCAAGCACAAATTGTTTAAATATTTAATCTGTAACAAGCACAGAATCATTTTTAAAAATTCACTATGAGCTTCAGCAGAAATTATTTCAACCTCTGCAGCAGAATTCATTATCACAAGATCACAGTGATGAAACTCAACAAATCACCTAATCCAAACCCTCTTTCCCTGAGTCTCACAGATGAAATGACCGGCCCTGGCCAGGCAGGAATCTGTGTCCGGCTCTCCTATGGCTTTCTTTATGGCATCGACCTGCCACACTTTCCAAACAACACACAGATGGTCTCAGGCACACTCGTGTATCTTGTTGGAAGCCTCACAGTTAGAAATTTAAATATGCAATTTCAAAATCAGGTACTAATACAAGCTCTTTTTAAGCAATACTCTCTCCAGAATGCTGGCTCTCAGCATAAACACAAAACACACACACATACACACGCACATATACTCTCAGGCACACATGCAGGAATACACAACCAAATTTTGTTACATCTGCACAAAGATTACTTGTAGATTCAAAGTGATAGTGTGTTACATTTGCACAAAGATTTGTAGATTCAAAGTTATAGTTACTAATAATGCCTACATAATACAGGATTTCATTTCCAACCATTCCACTTTACTAAAGACACGACAAAAAATTTTAAAATCTTACCTCAAAAATCTCAAAGCCATAAATGTCCAGAACACCCATGACCTTCTTTCTCACTTTTGTTTGTGCCTTGAAAAAAGTTCAAATTAAAGGGTTAATTAAGGCATAAAATAAAACAGTATAAGCATCCAAGAAACACAGATACATATTACAAGTTAATTATGTTTCTTAAGTAAGAAAATAACTGTAATTTAGTTGTTTTTTTAAAAAACTTATGAGATGGGGTATTGGTATAGAACTCTTTCAGAAATTTTAATAATAGGTGATATATTTAAAGAAGACATGAGTGGCGCCTTTCAAAATCACCGAATCCAACAACCTCATTTTTAATGATGAATAGATTATGACCTAGTGAAGTAAAGTGACCTTTTCAGCCAAGGGTGGACAACTAGTTAGCAGGTGAGCCAGGCCAGAACCTGGGATGCTGATTCCCAGAGTCACTCCACAAAGACCATCAGACTGTTCACCAGTCAGAAGCAACACACGTGGCAAAACAAAATGAAGAAAATCCCTGACAAATTTCAATCTTATACATGGTAAACTCTTCTTAAGGAATAATCTTCATAAGTGGTAATCAATTATTTGATTATAAATTTAAACTTTCTTCAACTTAATGTTTATACGGTGAATACCATGTATTTACAACTAATTTTGCTCACAGAAATTCAGTACCTTAATGCTTTCATTGATTCGATTTACCAACCATGAAAACAACCTGCTGTAGAGGTTTTTAGCCAGAGCATCACGGGCATAATAAGCCTATTAAAAAACAAACAAACAAAACTTAACACCCACAACTGTCACAATGCTTACTTTCAATAAAATCATAAAGATACTTTAAAAAATATTTAATCCTCTTTTATTTTACATTTCTTTGTAGAACCAGTTTTATTGTACCATAAACAATCAAGCCTTTAAAAGAATTAGGCAAATTGTCTACACACAGTTATACTCTTTCACATACCAGGAAACTAATTTTAAATACTGCAAAAACTTTCACCACAAAGATATTTATTTCAATGTTATGGAACAGAGAAAAATCGGACACAATTTAGAAGTCCAACAATAGGGGTAGTAAAAGAAACATGCACTGAGAGTAACATTACAGTCATCAGAGAGCAATGGTTATGAAAATCAAGTAATGAAATGGAAATGCTCATGTTATGTGAAAATTAAACAATTGTTTACTTAATATGATAACTATTTTTTAAAACCCTTACACATGGAAATTCAAAGGAGATATACTAAAATGGCTTTGACTGATAGAATCCATCAATTTTTTTTCTTCATTCAATCTTTCTTTATTTTTTTGGAGACAGTCTCACTCTGCTGCCCAGGCTGCTGGAGTTTATTTAGTAGCACAATTCTGGCTCACTGCAACTTCTGCCTCCTGGGTTCAAGGGATTCTCATGCCTCAGCCTCCTGAGTAGCTAGGAATACAGCCGTGTGCTACCATTCCTGGATAATTTTTGTACCTTTAGTAGAGACAGGGTTTCGCCTTGTTAGCCAGACTGGTCTTGAACTTCTGGCCTCAGGTGATCACCCACCTCAGTCTCCTAAAGTGTTGGAATTACAGGCGTGAGCCACCATGCCCGGCCAAACTAATCCTTTGAGTTTTTTTAAAAAAACTTCCACATTGAGTTCTTATAAGTTAGAGAATGAACATAAACCCCTTCTTATGTGCTTACCTTTAAAACGATTCAGCACTACTTGACAAAGAGGCAGAAAACATATATGCCTCAATGACTTTTAGAATCCAAAGACCAGAGAATGTTAGGTTTGGATGGCAGAATCTAAACACCCTTAAATGCACTGGGTGCCCAGAGCATACAGTAGGTAAGTACTAATGAGATGTTTAATACCGGCATCCTGGGAAGGCCTGGAGGTTGGGTGGCAGCAGCCTAATAAGGAACTGGCCTTGGGAGAGAAAAGCCTGAGGTTTTGCTGCTATTTTCAACATGTTGGCCATATGTGTGTATTTTGCTGCTTATAAATAAAAAGTTGGGTATTACTGTTAAAATTAATCAGTACTTTTTTATTTTGCAAAGAACACAATTTGTTACATTATGTGGGAACACTTTCTCTACATTTCCTTCCTAAATAAAATGTAACAACTTTAGTAACACATTCACTTCCCTGGCAACATATCATAGCTGAAGATGACACCTTTTCCCTTCATCTGACATTTCCATGCTAATCCCAAACCTCCTTCCCTACTCCAATTAGGGTTAAAGAATACACCTAAGAGTTGTCAACAAACAGACAAACAAGGGAGGGAACTCGCTTCCACAGTAGAAAATGCATGCCAAATGCTAAAACAGAGGAAACTTTTCCCAACACCTTTCTTCTAGCTTTTACTTTCTTAAAATAGATAATTTAAGAGCTTAGAATAATGCCTAGTACACAGTCTACCGATGTACTTATATTGATTTTTGAATTATCCTTTTCCTCTACTACTACCTCATGAGCCTATATAACTTCTAAGTCCTTTCTTTTTTCTTCTTATAAATTCAGGTTATCTCGAAACACCACATAATTTCAAAACATCATGTATTTGTAGACGAGCCCTTTTTCATCTTAATGTCATCTAGCTTTTTTAGTTACAAGCTATCTACTTTCAACAAGCCACCATTTCAATAAACTGAACTAACAGTGACAATTTATTCTAGTAAATTGCTTTATATTTTTTAAAGTGTATACACAGCCAATATTAATCTCCTTTGCTTCCTTCAACAATATTTATTCCAGGGGTCTCAAACTCAAATGCTTCCAGGGACTGTGTGATAGAAATGAACAGGAAATGATGGCTCTCTCTATAGGAGTTAGAGGGTGCATTCCAAGCTAAAGGCACTCAAATTCAAAATTCAAAGAGCAAACAAACAAAACCAAAGAAAACACTACCCTTTAGTTAAATAAAAATATGCCTATTGAGCTTTACCTGGCCCCAGGGGCTGCCAATTTGCCACCCGGCTGCCAATGTGCTGCCCCTGACTTCCTGAGCCTGATTCATGCCACCTAATCTGCACAATATCCTATAAAGCAGTAAGGGAAGGAATGCCTATTCCCACTTAAGGATCACTAATACAGTGTATAGAAACAAGGGAAGACTCTAAGTGCACTAATTCACACTATGAAAAGACCATGCACTTCTGCAGCTACATGAAACTCACAGAGGAAAAGCCCAGGTGGCATGTGCTGCAGACATGGCCGGTAACAGGCATGGTCCAGGATGGCAAGTGACAAGCAAGGTGGAGACTCAGAGATACACAGACATGGGACCCACCCTCCAGGAGCTAAGGAGATCAAACTAACACAGAGGAAACAATCAGAGGGCAGGTGCCGAACAGCAAAGAAAAGGAGGTTTGAATGGGGATGAGTCTCAGGAGGCCTATTTGGTCAAGGAAGTCTCCTTGGATGGAATAACAATTAGGTATAGCCTTTAGATGGGTAGAAAGAATGAGCATGACATGGGGGGTGACGGGCAGGCAGGAGCAGAGGCACCAGGTAACAGAGAACTAGCAAGGAATAAACTGAGATAAGCTGTGTAGGATAAGATTTTAGAGGACATTAGAAGCCAAGGAGAGAGTATGTAGGAGAAGCTGAAAAATTCTTGTCTAGAGTTTCCATTATCTCAGTATTAGTCCTCCTATCTGGAGAAAGGTCTAAATGCCTTGGGAAAAGGAGGCCTGGGGCAATAAAGATGATGCTGGGGCCCAAGAATTGAAGCTATGAGGAAAGGCTAACAAAACAAATCACTTCTCACAGGAATCCAAACGTACCAGGCAATAAGATTAGTAGAACCAGATACTCTGAATACGACATTAAAGATACAAAAACAGTTGACTAAGGAGCCGAACAGCTGAGGATCTCCAGCCAAATTCTTTTCTGCCAAAGGTTAAGAAAATGTGGAAAGTTTTCTTCAGTGATGTAAGGTGACTAAAATAAGCTTATAAAGTCAGAGGTACCTGGGCCTGGTTCCCACACAGGATGATTAAAAAAGCAAGAATAAAACACACAATTTTAAAAAGACTCAAAATATACATATTCCTAAAGGGTCTTCTTAAACAATACAGGCTTTCTCATGGCTTCCTCGCAGACTTAACAATTCCCACTCTGGCTACTATTGAACATGTCCAAACTCGGTGGCTCTCAAAATGTCATCCTGGACCAGCAGCAGCAGCAGCAGCAATGTCACCTCTGAATTTCTTAGAAATGCACATTCCTCAGTGCTCCTCCAGACCCACTGAATCAAGCACTAGGGCTGTGCTCTGCAAACTGTTTTGTAAGTCAGTACGCCAGGTGATTTGGATGCATGTTGAAGTTTAAGAACTACTGCTGCAGACTTGCCACCCTGAC